TATATATATATATATATATATATATATATATATATATATATATATATATATATATATATATATATATATATAGCTTAAGATTTTGGTTTACGAAACACGAACAGTGCTCGATACCATATAGATAGAGCGTAATATAGTTTTTCGTTTTACCTCAAAAAACCACAACAGTCTGTTTCATCCGTATAGGAATCATGATGATTCCTATACGGATTACGGATGATGATGATGATGACTCGCCTGATGATTCCTATACGGATGAAACAGACTGTTGTGGTTTTTTGAGGTAAAACGAAAAACTATATATATATATATATATATATATATTAAGATTTATTCAATTATAAAACTTAAGTTACCATAGTTTTTTGTTTGTCGCGCATCACAAGGATTCCAAGTAATTTCGAGATGATAGCACCAAGTACCAAAGTCAATCCAATAGATGTCAATCCTAGTTGACTCTATGAAAAAAAGTCACAAAAGTAACAATCCCAGTTGTTATAACTCGGCTGTTGTTCGGCAGAGGATCTTCGTAGCACAACATATCACCTTATAGGATACACATTCTCTTGTATGTTACATATCGCACTCACGTAACACACAATTCATATGTCCCAACACCAAACGATAGACGGTTATTGGTTTGTGTGGCATGTTTTAAAGTTGAACAAAAAGTTACCCCAGTTTAAAGTTACCCCAGGGTGTTCAGCCATCATTTGGCACAGTAAGACTTCAGCTAACGGTTTATAATATTGTATTTTTGTAGTAATTTCAAATATTTACCAAACATGTCTTTTCTGTTTCATCGTCCAGTTCATTCATGACTCGTAGTCCATAAAGAACGCCAGAAATACACAAACACATGCAACCAATGGCAATAAAAATGTTCAATATGGTGGCATATCTACCAGCGTCTCTATAGGAGGAAATGATTATAAGGAAATAATATATAAGGAAATGATTTATAATTCATCTCACTAAAAATATTCCGCTGGAGTGATTACTTTATTACTGTTGTGCTTTTTCGTTTTGTAGCTATAATTTACTTGGATATTGTTAACTTTTACAGTCTGTATTAGAGAGGTGTCCATATTAGAGAGGTGGACGTATTAGAGAGTACTTCGTATTATAGAGAGGTGTCCTTATTATAG